CAAAAATAATCGGTGACTAGTCGACTATCAAAATAATCGTTTGTGGCAGCCCTAATATGAAGACATTTTCCCACTTTAAGTTAAGAACTTTCGCTTTCAGCACTGAAATAGCAGCATCCCATTAAAACTGGAGCTAAGTAATAGATTAAAGCATCAGTTTCAGTACCACAGTCACCAATGTTTGACTACATAAGTGGTAGAAGCATTGTGGCTGTAGAGCAGTGTTGTGTGAGGGAGTGTGATGGTGAAAAAGTATTGGCCCCAGCAAAGAACCTTGTGGAACTCCATCATTAACTTTTGTTTGTCTTTATGTAAACAAATGAAATGTTCTCCTCTTGGTCACAGAGAGACGTCCATTGACTGAATCGGTCTGTTTTTTGCTTTAGGTTCCTGAAAATCTGAGTCTGTAATTGACAAAATAAAAAAGTGTGAATAAAAGAAGTGAAGTTTTATTAATGTGAGCGTAAAACCAGTGGGATGTAACCAGTTAATAACTGTCCTTCAGTGGACCTTATATACTCCAATAACCACACAGATAGATCAGCTGTTTGTTGTGACATTAGTTTTATTGCTGTTAGTTTATTGGGTGGTTAATGAGCACAGTGATCACAGCAGCTGGCAGCATGGAGACCCTCGCAGGGGTCAAAGGTCGATGAAACACAGGTGACACCGACAGGGCTCAAAGTTAAGTCTTTAACATTGACTCTGCAAATTTTTGGCTGGTGACTCTTTAACTGAAGCCCCCGAGTTACGTTATTATCATTAGTACGGCTACTAGTTACTTCGTTAAGCTACTTAATCAAGAGTCTGCTCTACAGTTATGTATGGAAGACTGTGGTTTACACAAATCACAAAGACACAGTTACAACACTGAGGGCACCATGTAGCTGTGTCTGAGCTGGGACAGAGGCAGGACCTGTTGGCTGAAGTCTTTCCTGTCTGTTGCGTGTACACGTTCACTCAGAATCTGTTACAGTGAATGGGTTCAATTAATGAGATGATGTTTAGCTACGGTACTTTTGCCTGACTGTGATTGGATGGTTGTTTGGTTTTGTACTTTGCCTTCAGTGGAAGCTACTGTGAGTCATTTCACTCACTTGACTTCCAATTATTTTAGCTTGATCTTGTGTACACGTCAGTGTTTTTATTGAACCCTTAATTGATTTCAGCAGGTTTTAATTGTCAGGGGTCTCTGTCTCTGTTTCCAGCCCAAACTTGATGACATTTCCCAGGGGAGGAGAGCGCCTCCTGCTGGTTCCACTGCTGCAAAAATCCCACCTGAGGTCAGCTTCCCAAAAAAATATTTCACACAGTGATATTTTTGGTTGTTTTTCCACAGCACCAGTTATTTGCTTTTCCCAGAAAACCTTCCTGTTCTGTCAAGAAACGAAACCTTAATGCATCGTCTCGTTTCTTTGCGTGTTCCCTTTTAGGCTTTCGTAGTTCTGGTTTATTTGGATGTTAAATATTTTGGCAACTTGTTGGCTGTAAAATAACCGCTAAACATTCTGCTAACATCTCTGCTGTGAGAGTTATCTACTTTACACGGGTCTGAGAACAGCAGGAGGATTCTGGGAAATAAACGCTCTCCACTGAAGGAAACCAGCTGAGCGAAGTATCATTTATCAAAAACCTGAAGTGAACAATCGGATAGTCAGAGCAACATGGACAAGTTCAGGGATTTTTAAAATTTAAATGTAAAAAAAAGCATTGGTTCTGTTCTCTTTCATAAGATTTTAAAAGCAACGTTTTAACTTGATTGAATTAAAATATAAAACTTAAAAACTGAACATAAAAGCCTTTTCTGCTCTGCTAGTTGTTCCATCACCAAGTTTCAGGTGTGATTTTGTTGTCCTTAATACTACGTTTCTGATTTTATTTTTACAACTGCAAATTAGCATTGAAATTTTCGGCACAAAAAAAGATCTCAAAAAAATGTAATTATGGATACATTCTGGATGTGCATTTCAAAATGCTGCATAAAAGTAATTTGCTAAAGATTTTCACATTCTGAGTACAACACATTGATGTTTGACATGAACTTATTTTTACTTTATTTTAGTTCTTACTCTTAAATACTTGTCTGAAAATGAAAATAATGGCAATGCGGGCATTAAAAAGTTTGATATGTAAAAGATCAGTTATTGTTTATTTAAAAAAATAGTAAAGTGTGGCTTCAGTCCAGATGAGACCAGAACATTTCTCACTGTGAGAATCCAGATGCTGCATTGGGTCATTTTTGTTGTCTGAATGTCTGATTGTTCGTCCAGAAACACGCAGGCTGAAGCACAACCGTTTGCATAGCATGTTCAGTTCACACCATCATCTGTGACATCACTCACTTCATCCTGAGTGAGGAAAACTAAAAAGAGCCGCCTCCCTGCACCTGTGCAGGTGTGTTTTGCAGCATCCAGCCTGGCCGTTTCCAGTCACAGTTTTGGATTAATGACTCTGTCACAACATGTGTTTTGGCAGAAGAGCACACACAAACTGACATGAAACAACATTGATTTTGTAACATACATGTTCATTTTCTTAAATGGCTGTAGATTCTTTTTGTTTTTTCACACTCTGACCCACCCAGGCTCCAGTCCGGAAACAAGACGAGAACACTACAACACAACTTTTTAAAAAAATTTAACATTAAACATTAAACTGTGAGTTTGATTGGTTATTGCTGCAAGTTTAGTTTTATTAATGAAATAGCAGTTATCAGTGACATTAGTTACTGATAACTTAGTGAGTCATCTGTACATTTTAAAAATTAGAAACTTTGTCTTTGATCCGTTCTTGAATTAGTTGTGTACAATAACTGAAAGAAGGGTTTGTATTGAAGTATTTTTGAGCAGACGACTTTTGTTTTGGCTCCTAGAAGACGTCCCAGCACACTGCAGCAGAACGCTGCACAAAAGGCATCCTCGCTTTGGATTCTCATTTAAATATGAAAAGTTTGATCAACAGAGGAATCCTAAACATTCTGGGAACTGGCTCATCTGAGCTCTGCACTCTTTCCCTTAAACCCCATTTAAGGTGGTTTGCTCTTTGAGAATTATAAGAGAGTCTTTTGTGTATTTGGGTAGTAACTGTAAAAGTTCCAACCACAACAAGCTCCTCATAAGCAGGATACCTCTTCTTTCTCTAATTTAAAACCCTTCTTTATTTTTCTCTTAAACATTATTTTTTGTTCCCTTATTTTTGATTTGTTCACGTTTTTGTCGGCGAAAAGCACAATTATTTTTAGGTCACTGATTCTGAAGAAAATGGGAAGATTCTCAGGCTAACTATGGGCTTTTTCTTAAAACATCAAACTTTTAATATAGATTTACATCAGAGGTATTGATATAATTGAAAAGTAGAAGTCATACCAAATCCAAAGAATTGTTTTTGAAGCATTTTTTATGCAGATGATGTTTGACTTTACAGCCCAAATACTGTTTTTTAAGTCCCTTTGGTTGGTCTTCATAATTAGGTTTCCATTTGGTCTGAAAATGACTGAGTTTGTCTTGTTTGTGTCCATTATGCTATGTTGACTTCTTACTTTGCATAAACCAAACATGATAGAGGGCGACTGTTATCATTGTTGTACAGGATGCAGGTTTTTGAACTCAACCATTTCATCCGACTCGTTTATTTGACTGGATTAAAAACTTCCATCCGTTCTGACTGAACAGGGCTTTAAGGCAGAGATTAAATACAGAAACCAGATTTGTGTCTGTTTTGCTGATTCTGCTAATGCTGTTCTTTAAGTTCTTGGGTATCTGGCTGTAATTAAGGTCTTAAACTAACCGGTGGAGTATCTTAGTGTTTGTTTTGTTTATATTTTCAGCTGCACGCATGTTGGCATTGTCACTTCAGGCCTGACCACCTCACTATACTGAGATAGTGAGTGGCAGGAGCTTCCTAATTACTTCAAATGGCAGTTACAGCAATTATCAGCAAATTTACTTTAAAGGATTGTTTGTCATACTTTTCTATCAAACTCAAGTAATGACGTGAGAGCCGTGGGGGGGTCGTTGGGAGAACACTGATTGATTAAAACACAAAGAATAAAAATCATCTAAAGCTAAAACTCTTCAAACACTTGAGCACTTTGAACATTAGAAGTCAGTAAAAGTAAAAGAGAGAACCCAACAGATTCCCTTTTGAAGTTTGCTCAGATCCACACGAAACCTCGACAGTCTTCATATCACTGCATCGCAGCAAGCCCGCCGGAATAATAGCCCCGCCCTACGCTGGTTGTTCACGTTAGCTAGTCAGACACCTGGTCAAAGGCCTCGCAGCATCAGTGTGTATCAGCAACATTCAATTTAAAAAAAAAAAAATTCAACATAAAAATCCCCAGTTTAAGTTGTTTTAAAGCATCACTTTTTGTTTTCATTGGTGTCGGAGAACTGTCAAGGTTCCCACAATCCCCTCCTGCTACCAGCCGGTACTGCTGACAAAACTTTGCATAAAAAGCCAAAAGAAATTTGCTTTGAAAGTCTGAATGAGGAGTGAGGTAGCCTGAAGCTCGAGGCACCGCTTTGCTTGTGCTCGCCAGCTAAACGTGAACAATCAGCCAGAAATCATCATCATTATCGCAATTATATACTGCATCAAATATAGATAACACACAAAGATATTCAATATATATATATTTGTCATATTGTATGTATCAGCAAAATAAAAGCCTCCATAAAATAAATCTCTGATTCATCTTACAATATGTAAAACAAAACGCGATTTCTAACACGATTCTTTTTTAAAAGTGCTAGCAACATTATTTCTGTTTTTTACAGTAATGTGCAAATGTAGGTAATTTTCGCATATTTGACATTCTAATTGTTATAGTTCCCCATGATGGGTGGATGGTGAGGGGTTGCTAGGAGACAGAGTTATAGACACGCCCCCGCAGACTGCTGATTGGTTTGATATAAACCAGAGCCGTACACAGGACGTCCTGTAGGGCTCTGGGTTTGGCTAGTCAACCGTTCAGGCTCTAGAGTTAAGACAACAATGTAAGGCAATGCTTGGCACCACACTGAGTCCTCCGGCTCTCATCTCTCCACCAGCTGACCGGACGGCAGGTGAACACGGACTCGGTTTTAAAGTCAAATCAGGTCTTTTTCTGGTCTCCAGACTAAAGGTGCATTTTGGGTCCACTAAGCAAATCAGTGGAAGTCCTGTTGATAGTTTTTGTAGCTAATTTTGAGGTTCATATTTCACTTCAGCAATTTTTCTTAAATTTAAACACTTTTTGAAGTGTATTTCAGTACTTTAGTGTCTGCTCATCTGTATGGGGCTTTTTTGTGCAGACGATTTGCACAGGGTTCACACATTTCCAACGTTATGAAATCATTAACACTAGAAGTTAGCCCCGTGCTATTTTTCAGTTAAAGAAAAGGAAAAAAAAGCACCCAGCTAAATCATATTTATCAGTTTAAGCAATACAAATGACCCCTTCCTGTCATTTTCTGCTGTTAATTTTATACAAATAATATTTAATTGTGTACAGTTACATAAATTTGTCTACGACTGACAGTGTGTGAGTGTGATTTCTTGTTTTAGTTTATTTTTGTCATTTAAAAATGTGTTTAAGTGTTTTAAGTTTCAATTAATTACAATACTTTTGTGCATATATTGCAGTCTAACTTCATGAATGTGAGTTAGTGTTACTTGGTTGATGCATTGTGTAAGGAAGAGCGCCGATGTACTTATATTACCATTTTATTGATGCTAGTTTTCTTATTTCAATTCAGAAAGTATTCTATTCAAACCAATCTCACATTGATATTTCTTTTTCTTTTTCTTGAGGAATCTTAGAAACCTGTTAAATATTTTGTGATATTCACTAGAGTGCGAATGTCTAATTTCCATTACTGTGCGGAGACGAGGTTAACCACATACAGAGGCAGCGTTGCTTGTTTGAGGAGCTACACCCAAAGGGAGGCCCTTAAAACAAATGGCTAGAATGATATGAACTCTGATCACACAGGAGAAGTTTAGGTGTATGAAACTATGAATGTGAGATGGAAGGTGCCACGATCAGTGGTTCAGTAGGAAGAAGTGAGGTTTGGATGGAGGACTGCAGCGTCGATGAGACTGAGAGACGAGGCAGAGAGAAGAGCTAACAGGTTGATTTTGGCAGCCTGGAGCCCTGGTCTAGGATCAGCCCTGCAGGGCGGGCAGCGCCCCATTTGGCACTTCAGTCGACCCGGGGGACACTGAACGAAGCCCGACCTCTGACCTGATTCGCACGCAGGCCCGAACCTCCTCACAGGGAGGTCAGACACATGACAGGGAGGGGTTAAAGGTCAGATCCAGTGAGATTTCAGTCTAGTTTCACATCAGTTTCAACAGCTGACGGCATCTGTGTGTTTGCATCTGGTTGGGGTTAAAAGCGCTGAGGAGATTTTACTGATCTTATTAACTGTTTTTGATCAATTTAAAGCCCTTGTTATAACTGACTGAAGTCTCTCTGGACATTTCCCTCTGAGATCAGATCTGTTGTTGCAGATCAGAGGTCAGCGGTCAGAGAAGCACGACACTGCTCAGGAGCCAGGACTGTTCTGGGATCAGTAGTAAAAAGCTGGTGGTTTGTAGTATTTAGCTTCAGCAGAGCTGCACCGATATAGTGAAACGTTCAAAAGGAATCAGGGCAGCAGTTTGAGTTTTAGGATTTGGGCCTCAACAATCAAAGTGCTCAAAGGGTGTCTGAGGGTGTTTTCAGGACTCTGAGCACAGTCTGGCTTCCTGGACCGCTGGTTTGCTTGATAACAGGAGGTTGAACTCTTTCCTCTCCAGTCCTGGAGATCGTTCAACCCGATAGTTCTGGTTCTCGGTCGATCTTTTCTTCCATTTTTATGTTTTACGACGGGACTGCGTCTCAGACTATTTCCTGTCATTTATTAAATCCTGTTGCAAAGCAAATGACCTCTGTTAATGTTCTGGGGGTCAGTCAGTCTGTCTGTCTACAACTCTGTCTGTATGAATAAACGGCCATTTTTTAAAATAAAAATCAGTTAGCACAAGTCCCTTTAACATTTAATAATGAGATGATTGTATTAATGGCAGTTTATTAGTTAACGTTTCATCCCACCCACCCAGGGAGGAGAGCATTGATGCTACCGATCATCGGTGATGGAGGAAACCTGACCTCCGACTTCGACCTCGACAGCAGACACTCTTTTGTTTTGTTTTTTTAGAGAACACAAAATGATTCTGCCTTTAGTGAAAACTTTAGATTACCCTTATTTTATCCACATTCATGGAGAGTATTTCTTTTTCCTGGTTGTTCGAGGTTGTTGGAATTATGAAAAGCTTTCTGAAGGAGCTGTGTCCCTCCTCTTCTGCTTTGTTCTTTTCTAGGTATTAAAAAAATCTTTAGCATTGGTCGTTTTGGTGACATGAAGAGACCAACTGATCAATAGGTCCAAGGAGACCCATCAATCAATTAATCGAAGGGCAAAGGCAATCAATCAGTCCACAAATCTAATCAATCACTTCGAGTCCTTCCTGAGGCCTCTGTATGGGTTGGAGGTAAAGCTGAAGGTCGAGTGTGGTGCTGTCGGTTGTCTGGTCGGAGGTGGATGGATGGACAGGGATGGAGTCCTGCCTACATGACACTCTCGAAGATGATGACTTTGTTGTCATCGGTGCCGGGCGACATGGAGCTCAAGGACTTGATATCCGGCGCCATGTACTCCAAGTGATGGGCTCCCCACACCGGAGTGGTCAGGTGGGCCCAACGCTGCAAGACATCAACAAACGCGTGGTCACACAGATTGCAAGTCATGTGATCTGGAGGAATCGCTTGGTTTGATTAAAGCTTTTCCTGTTTAGAAGTTAGACATGCTGACCTGGACTGTGCAAACTAAATTATCTCCATTTCAAAGCAAATACTTTTTGTGTCTCTAGACGTATACCCAACAAAATTTCCTTAGTAAGGCCTCAGTCACAAAAATATGTCTTGCTATCCTCCAACTGGTTGGTAAGAGGTTGCAGTCTGTCACTAGGTCTCAAAGACGATACTGTTCCTAAAACATCCTTGTGATTGCTTTGATAACTAGCTGATGGCCATGGTCACCTAAAATTAGCATGTAAGATGACAACTTATCTGCAAATGCTCACTAGCTACTCGCTAAGTGGTCGACAATAAAAGCAATCGCAAGGAGAACTAGTGGCAGCCAGCACCTCAGGGGAGCAACCGGTAGTTTGGTGATTTTCTCCAACCAGTCCACCACCTAACCTTCTATGTGCCCCTCTGTTACACTCATAAGTCAAGTTAACCCATTTAAGCAGCGGTGTAGGTGCTAGCTAGAAAGCTCGATGTTTCCAGACTTTCTACAACAGCACCAGTCCAACCGTACTCGCTGTCCCCTCTCCATCGAACCGGTCACTTCCAGATCCTTGAGCTTATCATGGTGCATGTTTATTGACTTATTTGTATTTAATACAGCGGCGTTAAAGTGAATTGTCTTGCAAAACTGTAGCAGGTGATTAACTGTAAAATAGAAATTCTTAGCCAAAGTTGGTTCAACAAGCTTAGAAACCAGAAAGTTCAGAGAAGAAAAGTTAAATTAATTCATCTGTAATGTTGCATGTGTTTTATTATTCATTTAAGGTATATTTCCCAGAATTTAAAGGGTAACATGTGTCACCACGTGTGCTTATGTTACAACAATGACTCCATATAAAGTTGGACAAAGTGATGTGATATCTTAGAAATGACCTCTGCTGTCACTCAATAGGAGCGTTTGCATTAGTTTAAGTCCAGTCACATGTTCTGCTCTTCATACCAAGCTACGAGCGCTGGGACATACATTACAGTTACATAAAACCTTATTTTAAACCAAATTTCAGGTAGACTGAGGTTTGCCTTTTACATTTTTACCATATAAAATCTAAATGGAAACTTTTTGTTGTCTCGTGAGAGAAAAATGGCAAATTTTGTTATCTGGATAGTAACTACATCAGTTTTAGGTCAATTTAAATTCTGCATGTGAGGTAAGTCTGTAACTATGCTTTTTAAATACATTCATAACCCTTTGTTTCAGCGTGCACGTCCAGTGTGAGCTGGCGCTTACCTCTTTGAAGGTTCCCTTGGCTCTAAAGAGTTTGTAGAGAACGCTGACAGGAATGCACAGCATGGAGGACAGAGCCAGACACCAGCCGATCACCTCGCCCCACCATGGGTACACGTACACATTGTTGTAGGTCAGGGGCTTATAGTTCACCAGGTGGAACAGAAAGATACCCTACGGGAAGAAAGGGGAGATTAAAGGGGAAGATTGGCACAGATTTGGCATCATTTACATGATTTGTGGTGTTGATACTGTGAGATTTTCATTATGTTGTCACAGCAGAACTGATGAATTATGTTGGTCTATGCCTGTTAGTTTTAATATGATTCTGCTGTATGCTCAAGGGACAGCCAAAGGTAAATATAAGTGTATAATCAAAATAAATATTTTCTGAATTTGTTCCTCTACAATAATCAAAAATGTACGTATGCGCTCTGCTCTTAATAAACTGGTGTTAGTGCCTGATAGCCTGGAGGAAAACTGGTGTGTGTGTTTGTGGGTTTCTATTTCTGGATGGGATAGTGTTGTTCAGTCTTACGATGCAGACACATGGAGTTATAAAAGACCAGCACCACTTCATCCAGGGGAAGGGCCGGTAGCCGATCATACGAGCCACATCATCCATGAAGCGGTCAGCACCTGCAGTTCATTAATCAGCAAGTCAAAGACAGGAAGATGCTGCGGATTCTTCCCCACTCACTTCATAAAACACTAGAAATTCTCCATGATTATATTCACACTATGACATAGCTTAATAGTCTTTTGTTGACATTATTCTGTGTATTTTATATTAGCTTGTGACAAAAAACACGTTGACCTGTGACCTCTAATGTCACATCATCTGAGCTGATTTTCAGACCTATTTTGAGATGGGTTATCTCACTGACAAACTTCACAATGGCTCTATTTACGATCACGTTGCTATGAAGCACTACACTGCCCGTGTGTGTTTGTGTTTATTACATACCGTAGACCCAGGCAACTACTATGCATTCCCAGAATGCTTGCCACAGCAGAGTCATCCCACTGGCCGAATAGTAGTCAAACAATTGGAAGACGTACATCCCTCCCTGCAGAGGAGCAGACGGCTCAGTGAACAGTGTCGATTTAGTAAAACAGTTCAAGATGAAGTGTTTCGTTCTTTCATAAGCTCCTTCACATGTTATGCGTTTTCATTTTTGTTA